TGTGTCACTCTGGCTCCAAATTTGTTATCTTCGTCTTTTTCTCTATCTCTCTCTGTGTCTCTATCTGTGTGTGTGTGTGTGTGTGTGTGTGTGTGTGTGTGTGTGTGTGTGTGTACAGAGGGTGATTTCATATATCGGTCGTCAAGCAAGCCCCGAGGTACTTGTACTTTGCACTGAAAATACAGGAGCAGACCACTACACTGGTCTTTGATGTGAAGACTGAGGGTCTGGACTCACACTTGTACTGCAAGCACCTTAACCACCCAGGCATTTCTCCAGCTCCTGTTCTTCTTTACACAATTTACCAGCAGATAATTCTGGAAATCCACAAAAAGAGATTGGAGATACAGATATTTTTACAAAACTATTTTTTTTGAGACAGGGTCTCACCATATAGCCTTGGCTAGCCTATATAGGAACACTCTATGTAGACCAGGTTGGCCTTAAACTCACAGAGATCAACCTGTCTCTGCCTAATGAATACTGGGATTAAAAGTATGTGCATACCTGATATAATATCATATAGAAATATATATGGTCATAAATCAGTAACTTTTTTTTTTTTTGAGACTGGGTCTTTTTATGTAGTCCTGACAGTCCTGGAACTCTCTATGTAGAACAGGCTGGCCTCGAACTCACAGAGATCCACCTGCCTCTGCCTCCCTAGTGCTGGGATTAAAGGCATATATTACTATGCCCATCTTAAATCAGTACCTTTTCAAGTCATCAAATAATCTACTGCAACATCAATTTTTATTTATATTGTTGGCATGGAACTCAGGACTTTGTCCATGCTAAGCACATGCTTTCCCACTGAGGACAACCCATTGGCATGACTTCAATTCTGAGAGGCTGCAAGGAATTCTGTTTCATAGATATATTTCCTTAACTAATCCCTGTCATATACTTCTATTTCTAGCTAGTAGCATTGTCCTTCTTCTGCAATGAATACCGCAGAAATGAATTTACATATTTAGCATTTCTTAAAAGTCCACTTTAATTTTTCCTTAGAACAAGTCTTAGAAGAGTTTTCGAGCCAAAATTCATGTACATTTTTTTAAAAAAAACCTTTTAATTTTGGAATAATTTTAGGTTTATGGAAAATTATGAAGATTCTAAAGTTTCTATACAAACCACATACAACCTGTTTCCTTTGTTTACATCGTATATAATACATTTTTACACAGGTCTTGCTATGCTGGCTGGAACTTGCTATGTAATTCAGACTGGCCCCAAACTGGCAATTCTTTCTTGACCCTCCAAGTGCTGGCATCATAGGCATGTTCCATCGTACCCAGGGTCTTAGGGTTTCTGTTGCTGTGAAGAAATACCACGACCAAAAGCAACCTGGGGAGGAAAGGGTTTATTTGGCTTACACTTCCACAGCACTGTTCATCACTGAGGGAAGCAGGACAGGAACTCAAACAGGGCAGAAACCTCGACACAGGATGCAGAAGCCATGGAGGGGTGCTGCTTACTCATCAGGGCAACCTACTTTCTTATAGAACCCAGGGCCACCAGCCCAGGGATGGCCCCACCTACAATTGGCTGGGCCCTTCCCATCAATCACTAGTTAAGAAAATTTCCTACAGGCCTGCCCACAGCTTGGTCTTACAGAGGCATTTTCTTAATTGAGGTTCCCTCCTCTCAGATGACTTTAGCTTGTGTCAAGCTGACATAAAGCCATCCAGAACACCCAGGTAATTAATCAACTTTTACCTCATTATTAGTATTAACTAAAATCTATCCTTTGTCCAGATTTACTTTACATCTAGTTCTCCTTTTTTCTATTCCAGTATCCCTCCAGTATACAACATGGCATTCAGTTGTCATGTTTCACTTTGGGCTCCTCTAAGCTTTGACAGTTCCTTAGACGGTTTTCCTTATCTTTGATTTCCTTAACAGTTTGGAGGCATACTGGTGAAGCATTCTGTAGACTAGTTTTCAACCGTAGTTGGTCTGATTGAAAGGACTCCGGCCAACTGGGGCATGGCAACCATGGTCTTGGCCTTCTCTCCATTCCCTCTGCCTTGCTAAAAACCCTTACATTCCTGAAGCTGGCCTCAAGGTCTGTTCCCTTATTTGTACACTTCCTCCTCCTGAGGCTGACTATCAAGGTCCAACTATCAAAGTATTGAAGTTCAGCAATCAAAAGCCCCCCTTGGCTCATCTAATTAACATGTCCAATTAAAATTAAATACCTCTCTCTAACATGGGGGTTCCCATTTTACCTTTATAAACCAACATTTGCCTATGGGCCACATCTGTCTCCTCTCCATCCAGAGGCAGTCATTTGTCCCTCCGGGACAAATATCCCTGCCCTCTCTCCCTCATTCCCTTTCCCTTCTCTATCATCCTATAGCTCCTGTCTTAGTCTCTTATTCCCTGCCCTCTGTCCCTCTGGGGCAAATAAATCTCCTTTGTGCTGAGAACGTGGTCTTGGGGGTCCTGAGCCAATACTTTTTCTTTCACTGATTTTCTTCCTCCCTGCTTCCCTCCCTCTTTCCCTCTCTCCCTCCCTCCCTTCCTTTCACGAGATTAGACTGGGGTTATGGGTCATTTACATTATACATCAAGTTCATGTGCTATCACCATAACTGTTAATGTGTGAAGGCAATAAAGACCCCATCTAGGGGTAGGGTCAGCATCTTATACCACCTGCTGTACTCAGTTCCAGGAAAGACCTCAGGAATGTGCCATGGCAACTCAAACAGATACATGTGGTGATATTGTGTTCCCCCAAATATTGTGCACTCTAATAAACTTATCTAGGGTCAGAGAACAGAACAGCCATAATATTAAATGTAGAGGTTAGGCAGTGGTAGCACACACCTTTAATCCTAGCATTCCGAAGGCAGAGATCCATCTGGGTCTCTGTGAGTTCAAAGCCACACTGGAAACAGCCAGGCATGGTGACTCACGCCTTTAATCCCAGAAGTGATGGCAGAAAGATATACAAGGGGTGAAAACCAGGAACTTGAGCCTGGTTAAGCTTTTAGGCTTTTGATCAGCAGTTCAGCTGAGATCCATTCAGATGAGGACTCAGAGGCTTCCAGTCTGAGGAAACAGGATCAGCTGAGGAATTGGCGAGGTGAGGTTAGCTGTGGCTTGTTCTGCTGCTCTGACCTTCCAGCATTCACCCCAATACCTGGCTCCAGGTTTGTTTTTATTAATAAAACCTTTTAAGATTCATGCTACAGATAAAGGGCAGTATGCTCCTGCAGACATTCTGTCTGCAGTTTATGGCCCTTGAAGATATCTAGATAATCCTGATGAGCAGTCCAGATAATCTTGTTCATCGGGTTGTGGTTCCCCGCCAAAAGTCTAACCCAATGGTTTCAAATGTGGCTCCGTGCTGAAAGTCTAGACCAATAGTTTCAAAAAATCACCTTGCTCCATACCCCTTCTACCCAATCCCAAGTTGCCAATTCCCAGCTTGTGGTTTTTCCCTATAAAAACTCTCTACACCTGGGTTCATGGCCACTGCCACATTTCCTTCCATCTGCTGTACAGTGGCCCAGGTTGAACCTGAATAAAAGGACTCTTATGTGCTTGCATCGGAAACCAGCCCCTTGGTGGTCTTTGGGGGTTTCGAGAAACGGGTACAACAGATGTTAACCTTGATCCTAGCCAGGGTAATGCTTGCTAGGCTCTCCACCATAAAGTGACTCCTTTTTGGGCTCCTTATTCTGGAGGAAGCTGCTATGTACAGCTCGAGAGGAAACGGGGGTTATCCTTCAAGATACGATATGTCTTCTACAGGAAATTTATCTCTTCTCTATTTACTAACTGTTCATTCACTTAGTATGGGATTATTAGTGTTTCTTTTAGGCTTTGAGCTATAATGCACCAGGACTTGCTTTTTGCTCAAGCCATGTACACTTTTACGTCTTGAGTAACTTAATGCGAAGGCAGGTGACCCACTTCCCCTTAACATCAGCATCCTAAGGGAGGGAGGTCTTGTCTCAGGTCTAACGGGGCTTCTCACCCCATACTATCCATCCCATTCCGTCCTTCTTTGCCTCGAGCCCCACTTCCTAGTTTCCCGGCGGCCCGCCCACCGCGGAGCGGAAGTGGGCGCCGCGCAGGGCGGAAGCGCAGGGCGGGGCGTGTGCCCTCTCTTATAGCCCGCCCCTCCCTTGCTTGCAGCCCCACCTCTCCGGCCCAGACCGGAAATGAGGTCAGAGAGGGAAACCCGGGCTAGGAGCTTCGGCCCCGAAGGCGGCGCCGGGTACGAGCGGCTGCGGCAGCCGGTGAGGGGAAGATGGGATGTTCGTGAGGCTGGGCCCGCGGCGCCGGGCGGCCTCCGGGCTCCGGGTTGCGGCGGGGTGGCCCGGGGCCCTGCGGGGCTGCGGCGAGTGACCGAGGGTGGCGGGGCGGGGGGACCTTGTTGCCCTAGACGCGTCTCCCGAGCCTGGGGCGCCGAGGGTCGGGCCGCCTCCGCGGCGACAGTGCCCTTTGGTGGGCGACAGCGAGAGCTCGGGCTTGGCATCCCGAGCAGGGGTCTCCCTGGCCCGTGAGGAGGGGCTGGGCATGGTGGGGAGTCCTCGGAGACACGGCTGGCTCTTCTCACCTTTGTGGTGGTACCGTGACCCCCCCGTCCCTCCCTTCTTCCCCATCGCAGAGGGAACCCAGTCGCTAGGACGAGGTTGGAGACAGTGTCTGCCCTAGACAGCTGACCCCCGGTCGCGGGTGAATCCCCGGGAGGAGTTGCCTCCTGCCTCCCTCTCCTCCCGTCACTGATTGGGAGGCTCGGTCGCTGCTTTGCGGCCCACCAGTGTGGGTGACTCAGAGCAGGGTATCTGGGGTCTGCTGAGAGTGAGCCTGGAGGTGCGGGTGTACCAGGGTCCCCTCTCTGTCCCCTTTGAGGCGCCAGCGTTTGAGGACACTCTGTTTAGGACACTTGTCCCACGTTAAAGTTTTGTGCGGTTCTGCCCGAGTTTCAAAGCCGTAGTTCTTTATTAGATCGCCGTTCCCCCCGCCCCTTGTGTATCTGCTTTTGTAAGGCTTTTGACACTTTGAGGAAGTTTGTTTGGGTGGTAGTTTTGGAGCTAGGTGGCCCCATTGCTCTCACAGATGTTGACACATACGCCAGAAGAAGACTTTTTCTGCCTTTGAATTTGTTGACATTAGGGACCCCGTGAGAACAGTTTTTAGAAAGCCCTTTGCAAAATGTAAATTGCATGAAGGGAACTATGGTCTGAGCTCAGCTTTTAAGCTCGAATTACGGCTCAGGTGTACTTTGTGCTTAACAAGAGCTCTGGAGAAGGTGCTATTTTAGTATACAAAATTGAGGTGTTGTATGGATGGCGTTAGACATTTCTTTTGAAAATGAAAATTTGAAAATTGCCTCTACTACTCATGCCTTGAAAGGGCCGATTCTGGTAGCCAGAAATCTTGCTCTACCCTTCATATCCATTCTAGTTTCATTTATGTTGTGCTTTTGTGCAGTCGGCACTAAAGCACATAACTAGGGTGACCAGGAGGAGTAACCTCAAAGTCCTATACTAAAGTAATAACCATAATAAAAGGGTCATGTTCTACAGTATTCTATATCTAGTAACTTCCAGGTAGCAGTCCCTGCCATGGTAGTCACCAGATGTGGGCTTTCCCTTTTTCCTGCTTGGGTAACCACAGACTCTCTGACTATGAACACTGCAAAGTCTTCCCAATAGGTGCCACTCAGCTCTTTGTCTCCTCCCTACTGCAAGCATTTTCAGGAGGTATCCCAGACCACAGCCCACCTAGCCTTCCATTGTGACTGGATCCTGTCCGATGCTCCTTTAGCTCTACCATAGTGTTGAAGTTGTGTGATTTGCTGTTCCTCTCTGGTGAGATACTTTCTCAGGATCAAGCAACCAAGGGACACATTTACTTGGAGAAAAGAGGAAGCTCTGTTTGTTTTTGCTAATGTCCCAGTTGTCATCTGGCGAGCCATTGAATATGTTGATTTCAGGTATTTAACAAGGGCCAGAAACCTTATATTTGTGGCTTAAGGGTTCGTGGATGTTAGAAACAGAGTGGTAAGTGTAGCTGGATTAAAAGAGTCTATTTTCTATAGCCAGGCAGGGAGCCACACTGCCATTATAAAATTGCTCTATAAAATTACTGGAAAACAGCAGGTCTTTTCAAGCTTCTCGTCTTCTTCTTTTTCCTTTTTTTTTTTTTTGGCAGATGTGGCCTCATGGATGAGCTGGTACACGACTTAGCCTCAGCCTTGGAGCAGACCTCTGAGCAGAGTAAGCTTGGTGAGCTATGGGAGGAGATGGCCCTGAGCCCCAGGCAGCAGAGGCGGCAGCTTCGGAAGCGCAGAGGCCGGAAGCGCAGGTCTGACTTTTCTCACCTGGCAGAGCATGCCTGCTGCTTCAGTGAAGCCTCAGAGTCCAGTCTGGATGAGGCCACCAAGGACTGTCGAGAAGTGGCGCCGCTCACCAATGTCAGCGACTCTGACGACACAGCGGTGGCCAAACGCCACCCAGCCCTCAGTGCCATCATCAGGAGTAAGCAACACTCGTGGCACGAATCTGACTCCTTTACAGAAAATGCGCCTTGCCGGCCACTCAGGCGCCGGCGGAAGGTGAAGAGAGTGACGTCAGAGGTTGCCGCCAGTCTGCAGCAGAAGCTGAAAGTGTCAGATTGGAGCTATGAGAGGGGCTGCAGGTTCAAGTCTGCCAAGAAGCAGCGCCTGTCGCGCTGGAAGGAGAACACTCCCTGGACCTCGTCAGGCCACGGGCTGTGCGAATCGGCAGAAAGCAGGACTTTCCTAAGCAAAACCGGAAGGAAAGAAAGGATGGAGTGTGAGGCCGAGGAGCAGAAGCAGGGCTCCGATGAGAACATGTCAGAATGGTGAGCTCGCCCTTCCGAAAGCGAAAGGTGTCCCTGGTGAATTCGGCCGAAGTGCAAACCCACAGTCTTGCCATGAGTTCCACCCTCTCCTAAGCTAGCCACGCTAGTGTTGTCTTGTTGTTTCCTGTAGTCAGCTGGTGGTTGATCCCTGGTTTGCCAAGTGTCATTCATGAATCTAGTTCGCTTTGTGTGTAACAGAAATAATTTCATCTTAAAAATAACTTCAAACATGGACTTTAAATGCATAACCAAGAATTTATCTTAAAAAACAATCTGCTGTTTTCTATACCATTCAGTTCATACAAAGCTACTGTTGTTTAGAGCCAAGGTATCAGCAAGGGCTAGTGTTGACAGTTGTGACTGAGAAGGCGTGCAGGTGCCAGGGCTAGGCAGTTTGTAAATGAAGGGAAGCTGTGTGTGCTCTTTAAGAATCATGGCTTAGCCGTGTTTGCACACACCTTTAATCCCAGCACTCAGGAGGCAGAGGCAGGAGGATCTCTGAGTCCCAGGCCAGCCTGGTCTACAGAGCATGTCCCAGGACTGTTATACAGAGACACCCTGTCTCAAAAAAACAAAAAACAAAACAAAGCAAAAAAAAAAAAAAAAAAAAAAAAAGAATCATGACTTTATATACTTTGGGACTATAATTCTGCTTTCTTCTAGTTATAATTGGACTATAATTAAGTGCATGTAGAGGCCCAAGGTGGGGTGTGTGTGTTTTTCTCTATTACTTTTCACCTTGTTTTGGGGAATTGTCTGTCACTGAACCCAGAGCTCACCCATTGGCTTGACTAGGTGGTCAGTAAATAAGACAGGAACTCACCTGTCTCAGCTCTCACAGTAAGATTACAGACCTGCACTGCTGGGCCCGGCTTGTATGTAAATTCAAGTCCTCATGCCTTACTCACCGAGCCATCTCAGCAGCTTCGTTAGGGCCTGCCTGCCTCCCTCCCTCCCTCCCTCCCTTCCTTCCTTCCTTCCTCTCTTCCTCATGAGTGTGTGTGTGTGTGTGTGTGTGTGTGTGTGTGTGTGTCTGTCTGTCTGTCTGTCTGTCTGTCTGTCTGTGTGCCCAAACTCAGGTCGTCAGGCTTGGCGGCAGGTGCTTTCACCTACTCACTGAGCCATCTTAATCTGTCCTTGGGTGTTTTCCAATGGCAGACGTTTTAAGTTGTATGCATATATAGTGAGTTTTGAAAATGACAGTGTGAGTCCCTTTAATCTTGTATCACATGTGATAAAGTACTCCGAAGGATGCATGTTTAAAATGTCAGTGTAGTTTTGATAACTCACTTCTCTCCATGTCAGATCGCCCTGAAAACATGGATACTTGGCAGCTTGCTACTTTAGTGTTATCACTAGAGTTAAGGTGTGACCTCTCCGTGAGGATGCCTTTGGTGTTTGGGGCAGTGTTTTGTGGCACACTGCAGGATGGTCTACCCTCTTTCCCTCTTCCTGTATCCCTTCAGATGCTGGCAGTGGTGGCCACAAGGTGGGTTGAGGGGTGCAGGTTTGCTAAGTACTCTGTGTGGTAGGCACTGTACTGCATGCCTGCTGGGTGTTCTTATTATTCCTCACATTCTACTGTATGGTAGAACCTCATTATGTGTATTTTTAGAAGAGAAAACTAAGTTTAGAGTTTGAGTAATTTGCCGGGGTCACCTGTTGTCCAAACTGAGAGTCCAACCTGATTTCCACACTCACACTTCACCAGGCTTGGCCGCCTGTTATATTTTACAGCTGTAGCACAAGTAACCCTCGTGTTCTTCTGAAGTTTCTGCCCTCAAAGACATAGATAGAGCTTAAGTCCACCAAGTAAGCCTGTGTTGGTAACAGGACAAGCTATGTAGGTCTGCATGCCTCCTCTTTTTCTGAATGGTTCTTTATTTAACTTTCGAACTTTTTCTTACTAACTGTATTTTGCCAGTGTGTTCAGCTGTGTTGAGGTAGGCTCACAATTTGACTCTTGAAATTTTCTTCTAAGTTTGATTCTTTCTAAGGCCTATTTATCCAATTTATATGTAGTTTTTGGATTATAATGGCACTCTTCCCCCTTACTCATACTATTTTTTTTATATATATATTTTTTAAGATTTATTTATTTATTATGTATACAGTATTCTTCCTGCATGTGTCCCTACAGGCCAGAAGAGGGTACCAGATCTTATTACAAGTGGTTGTGAACCACCATGTGGTTGCTGGGAATTGAACCCAGGTCCTCTGGAAGAGCAGTCGGTGCTCTTAACCACTGAGCCATCTCTCCATTTTTTAATCAAACAAGAATTGCTTAGCCAACTTGTAGCGTTTTATGATTCTGAAACCGTCTGTTGAGGCATTCAAGTTAGCTGTAAGATCAAGCATTTACATCTTAGACTTACAATTGAGAATGGAGAATTAAAATAACCTTTTAGAATGTTGCTTCTGTCTTTTTCCTCCCCAGAATCTCTGGTTAAACTGAAGGTATTGTGTGTGCTAGAGACAGTCGTCAGCTGTCTTCTCTAAGTGCGGCTCCCAGCACAGGGCTTCTGTCCTCTGCCTTTCCTACCCCAGGCTGTCAGGCTCTGAATTCTAATCGGAGAGCCAGGAGAAACCGAAGTCGACAGGAGTTCCTGTGAAATTCTTCTTATTTTCACATTGAGGAGACCTGGTTCTCCCCAGTGGGCCCTCCCCCTGGCTAGGACTTCAGAGCCTTGTGGTGATAGGGATGCCAAAGTCCTTGTCACTGAAGAAATAATGGGTGAAGTGGCAGTATGACATTGATCCTATGAGAGCCAGGACTGTGGAGGAGGCATTCTAAAAGGAGACCCTCATGGGGGCTGGATAAAGGGCTCAGCAGTTAAAAGTACTTGTTCTCAAAAGACTTGAGATCAGTTCTTAGCACCCACATTGGGTGACTTACAGCTGTAATCCAGCTCTAAGGAGATCAATACTCTCTTGTGGATGGACACACACACACCTTAAAAAAAGAGACCCTTGTGCCCTCACTTCCCACTTTTAAGATTATTGAAACAATGGACCCAAAAGAAGTAAAATTTTCTCAGGAGTCCCATGCTAGAGCAGGGAGAGGCTGAAATCCTAGTACTGACCAGAGGAGGCACTTGCCTTCTGGGAAGAGATTTCCCACGGTCTGGAAAGCTTATCTTACAGTTAAGTTAACGTGTATATTTCCAGGGTTATTTCATCCAAGATGGTAACACTGTTACAGGAAGGGAGTGGAGACCCCTGGAGTTTCCGTGATTTTGGCCAAACTGTAAATAATTCTATTTTTATTTATCAGTTCCTGTTTCCCACTTTCTTTTAAAACACAGGCAAACTAGGTGGTGGGATTACAGTAATAGTAGTGGATAGCACTGAGAAAGTCTTTGAAAAGTTCTAGTTGAATTGCTGGGCAGGGTGGCACTTGCTTATAGTCCCAGCAGTTGGCAAGTAGAGGCAGGAAGAGCAGGAGTTCCAGATCAGTCTCAGCTACTTAGTAAGTTTGAAACCAGCCTGGGCTGTACGATACCCTGTTTTTAAAAATAAATAAAGTAGAATCAAATTTTTAAAGAAATGTGAAATCACTCCTTGACTTGACTCCATTTACAAATAGAAATGCCCTTGTATTTTCCTCCTTAAATGCATTCTGTGAAGAGAAGGATGCTTCTTATTCTCTGGCATCAGAATATGTTCAAACTTTCCTCAATGGCTGCTCTTTATTATGACTTATTTATTTTTATCTTTATTTTTACTCATTATTACTATATTATAATTTAGGATAGAGTCTTTGCCTCAGGATGACCTTTAACTTGCAATCCTCCTGCCTCAACTTCTTAAATGTTGGAATTACAGACTTGTGGCTTGTAATTTGTTTTGCTTTGGTGTTGGGAATTGATCTCAGAGCTTTGTGCATAGTGGGCAGGTACTCTGAAACTGAGCCTCATACCCAACCCCACCCTCTGGTATTAAGCATATTTTATAAACAGGGCTAACATTAGACTGCAAATAGAAAATAGTTATGATTTGTGTATTACTCTCTGTTGGTGAGTTGATCATGTTAAAATTTCCCTACCCATGTTTTAAAAGAAGTCCTTTCAAGAATCCCTATGGCTATTCTTTAATGAAGCTGCTTGGCTGTGCCATGGTTCAGTCACATAGAGATCAAAGTGTTGACTTTATTTCCTGTCTGTCATGTTGAGGGTTCTCCCCATCAGCCAGGGAAACTTACTAACCTTGATCCACCTTGTAAAATTACTGAGATAAGAAGCTGATTATTAACCTTAGCCTAGTCTGTGGGTAGTGTTTTAAGAAACTATGTATTAAGTGTTTTGGATTTGGTAATGTATATGTTAATTGGCTTTATTTCTAGTTTACTTAAATTCACTTACTGCTAATAACTTAAAATTGTTAACAGTTTTAAGCCTTGGTGCTGTTTCTTTCTGCTTTTCTTTCTCTCTTCTTCAGTTGTGTTCCAGCCAAGAATTGTGAGGGTGTAGAAATAGGTATGACATAATAGCTTTATTTATGCTGCATAAAGATCAAGTTATTACTGTAATGTCTTCTGTGTATTTATGGGAGTGAATACAAATCCTGTAAAATTCCTTCCTTCCAATCTTCATTCAGATTTTCTGAATATCACTTACTCATTAGGTGATGGAGCTTGGCCTGGTTTTCTCTGCTCTTCAGCAGCACATTGTTTGTTCCTCTTGAATGTAGTTTAGTTCTTTTATGAGTAAATTGCTTGGGTGATGGCCTAAAGTCCCATCAGGAGCCTTCTTCAGGTGATGGATTAGAGGCCGGTCTCACAGGAAAGAAAATAGTCCCTTGTCTTGGAAGGCAAATGACAGAGATGGAGTGCTAGACCTGTCCCCTCCTTCCCCAGCCCAAGCTGACCTTCTGCAGCCCCTTGGTGCCTCTTGTTTTCTTATTTTTATAGAAAATCAATATCCCTTCTGACACAAACAATAGCTCAGAAGCAAGAATAAATGGGAGAAAGCTGAGATCTCTGTCCATCACCTCTCACTTTA